TATGTGGCTGGTGCCTTTGCCGCTTGAGCCACAGGCGCCGAGCCTTAACTTTTTATTTAATTGAATTGTTTTAAAATTTTGTGCTTAAAAATGAGATGTTAGTATGTTGCCCAAGCTGGAAGATTGCAGTAGCTATTCATGGGGGTGATCATAGCACACTTGGGCCTTGAACTCTTGGCCTCAGATGATCTTCCTGCCTCAGCCCTAGGGGTAGCGGGGACTTGGGCGCACTCTCCTACACCAAACTGTTTTACATTTTGATATATTTTACTAAATGATTGCTACAATCCAGCAAAATATAGCTATCACCTCACATAGTTTTGTGTTTGTGTGTATATGTGGTGAGGACATTTAAGTTCTGCTTGCTCAGCAAATTTCAAGTATATGATAGAGTATTGTGAACTGTAATCACTATGCTTTTCATTAGCTCTCCAGAACTTAGCGTCTGGCCTAACTGAAACATTGTACCCTCTGATCAGTATCTCTCTATTTCCTCCACCCCACAACCTCTGGCAACCACTATTCTATTCTCTGATGCTGGAAATTCAATTTATTTATACTCCACCTTTAAGAGAGAACATGTATTATTCACTTAGCATAAGGGCCATCACTGCTTTTACTATTCGGGGCTTTTTGTTGTTCCCCATGAATTTTAGGATTTTTTTTTCTATTTCTGTGGAAAATGCCATTAGCATTTTGATAGAGATTGTATTGAATCTGTAGATTGCTTTGAGTGCTGTGGACATTTTTTTTTTTATTAAATGATAGCTGTATACAATAATGCAAACATGGGGTACAGTGTAGTGTTTTCATATACAATTGGAAATACTTTCATCAAGCTGGTTAACATTGGACATTTTAATAATATTAAATATTACTCCAATTCACGGACAGGAGATATCTTTCCATTTATTTGTGTCTTCAGTTTCTTTCATCAATGTTTTGTAGTTTTTGGTGTCTAGATTTTCACCTCTTTGGTTAAACATATTCCTAAGTGTTGGGTTTTTATTTATTACATTATAAATGGGATTATTTCTTGATTTATTTTTCAGATAGTTCATCATTATTATATATAAATGCTACTAATTTTTGTATGTTTATTTTGTATCCTGCAATGTTACTGATTTTTTTTTTTTTTTTTGTGAGACAGAGTCTC